CTGGAAAGAAGAGAGGAGCAGCATGTTTGTGGTATGCCCTGGGAATTTCATTAAATTTTATTAGGGAGTACCTCCTACACCCTGGGTTTCCAACTAGTGAAACATCAGCTTCTGACTGATTGTATTTTACTGCTTAACACAATCTTTAAAACTATAATGTAGATCAGTGGTGTCCAGCCAGCATCTTGGGCCATGTACAATTCTCAGTACCTTCTAGTGGCTCCCAGCAATTTCTTAGTACCTGTCTTTCTGTACAGCTGTATAACTGCATAACTGTGAGTTTGTGCAGATTTTGTTTATACTTTACAAGTAAATTATTTTCAAAGTTATATAACTGTAGAAAATTTTAGTGTCTTTTCTACTTGCTAGTTTTACCGTGGCCACTAAGTTTTTAGAGGTTGGGGACCTCTGCTATATGTGCCTATATATTCACATATTAATAAACAATGTACAGTTCATGGGTTACATGCAATCTTTCTGAACACTTGCTGCTTTAAAAACTACAAAACTAAAGAAGTAGAAAATGTTCACTTGGAAAAGTGAGCATAGTGAATCTGTGCTCACCTTTATTCATCGAGTCAGGCACAAGGTAAAAAATTTCTCTTGCACATAATTAGGTATTCAAAATGAACACAACTATGTTTTTCTGAATGAACATTCTCTACTCCATTAGTAAATTAATCCTTTTAGGTCATTTATCATACAGAGCTAAATCATGACCCTTCAAGCTGCGATAATAGAACAATTGCCAGCCATTACATTCAGGTGTCTGTAGAGTTAACAGGAGTATACAAAACAATTTTTAAATAGTCTGCAGGATGCTCAAATTAAGCTATGTCAGCAGTCAAAGAAAAAAGCTCAGACCATCTCCAAAAATAATGCAAATATGGAACATAAGTTTGCATCTTGGACATCTTCCAGAACTTGCTGCTCGGTTTCTGGTCATGATTAAGTCATTATATTAATATGACTCATTTTTCATAGGTAAATCTACATGTGGAAAACATTAATATGCATATCCTTGGCTGCTCACTTTGTCATTTCTAATCAGGTTAATTAAAGGGTGTTAATACATTCAAACCACAAGGAAAAGCCATGGGAATTGTTAGAGAATAAGGCCTCATGCACACTGATAATTATTTTAACTCCCCTAGAAGCCAACAACGTTTTGGGCAAAAAAAGCTTGATGCTTGTAAAAGTGTGTAACACATTTACACGTGTTTATTCAAGTGTTTGGGCATTAATTAATTCGATTGGCCAGAATAAATAATTTATTCTGGCCATTTAAATAAATTAACACTCATGAGTTAAATGCGCCTAGCATTTAGGTGCATTGGGTACATTCACACACGTTTAAGCACGGCAAGCATTTTTTCAACCAAAACTCTGCTACTCCAGGATGTTCTGGCAGTGGGTTTTTTTCCTGCCACTAAACTCTCCTGCCACAAAACACTACTAAGATCCTATGTGTGCCTAAAAATCACACACATATACACACATTAAACTGGATGGACCTGTGCCTTTTTTCAACCTTATAAACTGTGGGGCTGATTTACAAAAACTGGAAAGTGCAAAATCTAGTGCAACTGTGCATAGTAGCCAATCAGTTTCTATTCTTGTGCAAATAAGCTTTGACAATAAAACCTGGAAGCTGATTGGTTTCCATGCAGAGCTGCACCAGATTTTGAACCATGCAGTTTTAGTAAATAACCCAGGGTAACTATCTTCTGGGTGAAAGTGGTAAATATAAAGTATACAGTTGCAAGAAAAAGTATGCGAACCCTTTGGGATTCCGTGGAGTTTTGCATGAATTTGGCATAAAATGTGCTCTGAACGTCATCTAAGTCACAATAGAAGAACACAGTCTGCTGAACATAACACTACACAAACATTAGATGTTGCCAGGGTTTAATTGCACATAACATGTAAACATTCGCAGTGCAGAGAGGAAAAAGTATGTGAACCTTTGGACTTAATAACTGGTTGACCCTCCTTTGGCAGCAATAACCTCAACCAAACGTTTCCTGTAGTTGCAGATCAGACCTGCACAACGATCTGGAGTAATTTTGGACCACTCCTCTTCACAAAACTGTTTCAGTGTAGCAATATTCTTGGGACGTCTGGTGTGAATCGCTCTCTTAAGGTCATGCCACAGCATTTCAATCGGGTTGAGGTCAGGACTCTGACTGGGCCACTCCAGAAGGCGTATTCTGTGCTGTTGCAGCCATTGTTTTGTTGAATTACTTGTATGCTTTGGGTCATTGTCCTGTTGCATCACCCATCCTCTGCGGAGCTTCAGTTGGCGGACAGATGGTCGTATGTTTTTCCTGCAAAATGTCTTGATAAACTCTGGAATTCATTTTCCCATCAATGACAACAATCCGTCCAGGCCCTGAGGCAGCAAAGCAGCCCCAAACCATGATGCTCCCTCCGCCATGTTTTACAGTGGGGATGAGGTTTTGATGTTGGTGTGCTGTGCCTTTTTTTCTCCACACATAGTGTTGTGTGTTCTTCCCAAACAACTCAATCTTGGTTTCATCTGTCCACAGTATATTTTGCCAGTAGTGCTGTGGAACATCCAGGTGCTCTTTTGCAAACTTCAAACGTGCTGCAATATTCTTTTTGGACAGCAATGGCTTCCTCCGTGGTGTCCTCCCATGTACTCCATTCTTGTTTAATGTTTTCCTTATTGTAGATGTGTCAACAAAAATGTTAGCATGTGATGTGCCAGAGATTTCTGTAGGTCTTTAGCTGACACTCTGGGATTCTTCTTTACCTCATTCAGCATTCTGCGCAGTGCTCTTGCAGTCATTTTTACAGGACGACCACGCCTAGGGAGAGTAGCAACAGTGCTAAACTTTCTCCAGTTGTAGACAGTCTGTCTTACCGTGGACACATGAACATCAGGGCATTTGGAGATACTTTTGTAACCCTTTCCAGCTTCATGCAAGTCAACAATTCTTGATCGTAGGTCTTCTGAGAGCTCTTTTCTGCGAGGCATGGTTCACATCAGACAGTGCTTCTTGAAACCAGTAAACCCAAAACAGGTGTGTGTTTTTTAAGGGCAGGACAGCTGTCAGCAACACATCCAATATCATCACACTGATTGGAGTCAAGGTTGGCTCACTCCTGGCTCCAATTAGCTCTGGGAGAAGTCATTAAGCTAGGGCCTCACATACTTTTTCCTCCCTGCACAGTGAATGTTTACATGTTATGTGCAATTAAACCATGGCAACATCTAATGTTTGTGTAGTATTATGTTCAGCAGACTGTGTTCTTCTATTGGTGTGACTTAGATGACGTTCAGAGCACATTTTATGCCCAATTCATGCAAAACTCCACGTAATCCGAAGGGGTTCACATACTTTTTCTTGCAACTGTATGTAGCACCCTCTAGTTTGCTACTAGGGTGAGTGTAGGTAAATTTATATTGTAAGACTCATGGTAACTGTACAAGTCTGTGATTAGGTTGGGTTACTGCAGGACAGACTGAGTGGCTTAACAGGTTGGTACTCTATCACCTCCACCTGGTTCTGGAGGATGATAGAAACTTCCAGAAGCCAGTGAGCAGAAGGGGTGGAGACCTAATCTGCATGTTTGTGGGAGTCTAACCAATCCCAGGTTTGGAGGCCCTGGTAGAGTGGTGAGGGCAACCCATAAATACAGGAGAGCCAGACTGGCAGGGAGTTGGGTGGAAGATGAGTACTGAGGAGGTTGTCAGTAGCCTGGGAGGGGTCCCCTATGTCTAGGGGGGGGGGGGGGGGCTGACCTCCAGGCTGGGCTCAGGCTGGTTCAGGTGGATCCATTCAGCATCACAGTATGAATAGGATCAAGGCCTGGGAGCAGTGGGATCAAGGAGGACAGCATGAGTAAATTAGCACACCCAGAGATTCACAAGGGGAAAGGCTGCCATGTGTAGCAAGCTTTCAAAGGACAGCATTGTGCTTAACCCTTTATGCTTGTCCTGGGAGATCTTCAGAGCAGCCAGGAGGGCTGGTAGTGTCTCTGCAGGCTGTGGAGCTGGGAGAAGTTCTACAGGGAAGAGGATATATTTCTGCATGCAGTTAGCAACAAGCTAAGCTAACTTTCAGAGGGGCTGAGAGTCCCTGGCTCGTAAGGGGCAGTTGCTACTGATCCCTAATGACTGTTGGCTTTCAAGGAAAGAACAGTCCAGAATCTGTTTCTGTAAATAAGAAGCAAGTTGTCCATTTGCATTGATTCAGTCAAGTCAGGCATCTCATAATCCCTGTTACCCTGTCCAAGTTATATCCCATAAAAAAAAATAACACAAACCAAGCTCATGGAATGTTCACTGGCTGTGGATGCAAGTGTGGAAGTTTGAACCTACTGAAAGTTTGACCGTGAGCTTCGAACAGGGACAATTTACTGAGCAGTATCTTACCGCAGCTGGGTATGTTGCAGCTACTAAAATACTGCATGAGTTATATTATTAAGTCATGCTGTATTTTAGTAGAGAAAACATTTTTTAATGTTTCAGCTGTCAGTGGGGCAGCTGAATGTCAAAAGAACTGTCGTCACTGCCCGAAAATTAAAATAAAAAAAAACAGTGTGGGGTCCCCCCTCCCATCCATATCAAGCTCTCCAGGTTCCCGCAGCCACAACCACCCGCAGCCGCGTGCTTCTCTTGCGAGATGCAAGGGGGGTACCATTCATTCTGAATGGCACCCCCACACATCTCATCCAGCAGGTCGATTGCAGTATAATTGGGGATGCAAAAAGATGTGGTTTTCACATGGATGCATTTCAGGAAAGGTGCATGCATCTTTTCTTTGAGTGCAACACGGCCTGCACTAGTGAACCGGTCCTTAATTTACATGACTTGTAACTGCATAACTTCTTAACCCCCCTGGTGGTATTCCCGAGTGTAGCTCGGGGTAAAGTTTCAGTACCACAAGAGGTAACCCCGAGCTACACTCGGAAATACCATGCTGCGCTGCTCCAGGATCCCTCGATCACTTACCTTGTCCCGCGCTCCTGCGATGTCCCTCCTGCAGTGTCCCCTGTAATGTCCTCCGGCGGATGCCGGCATCTGTCATCTGCGTTCCGTCCCCTGCGAGCGTCGGGACGTACGGGGGATGGAAGGGCGGGAAATTTGAAAATGAAAAAAAAAGTGACATTCACTAAATACACTATAGTCGCATAGTAAAACATTACTGTATCAAACCATTTCACATACATTTTGTCCCGAGTGCTTTGTCCTGTGCCCTGCCTGCATTTTTACTGTTCTTTCTGCCTGGAAAATGAGAAACATCCATGGCGTCCAAAAAGCGTCCCTTTAGGTCAAAAGCGGTTTTAGACCAGCTAGAGAACAGCGATAGTAAATTAGAACTACTTGCAGAATTGAGTGATAATGATTTATGGGGAAATTTGTCATCGGACACTGAAAAGGATTTTGCGACTTTGCTCAGTGATGTGCGAACTTTGCGCTCAATTTCAAATTTCAGTGTTTTTGGTTTGATTATAGTATTGAATTAAATTTATTATTATATTATTTTTTTTATGAATATTTATTAAATTATAATTTATGATTTTGTGTCTCAAATTGTAACATACCCGGGATGTTTACTAGACTCTTGTTCGGACAGATTTCAGTGAGTTATTCCTAAAAATTACAGGCCTACAATAAAAAAAATACATATTTCCATGCAAAAAAATGTACCGCTTTGAGCACAGAAATATAGACATAATCAGACCGCTAGGGAGGTTAAGATCCCTACTCCTGCATTGACGCACAGGGCTTTTTAATAATTAGGAAGTGGAATTGGAAATAGACATCAAACTAGTAACTGAACAAGTTGTAGTTGGAAGCTGTTTGGAAGCTGATTGACTACCATGCACAACTGCACCAGATTCTGAGCACAACAGTTTTAGTAAATCTTCTCCACTGTCACTTGGGGGATTACTTAATTACATGTTACACCCTAGATATGGGTTTTGCATTTTGCAAAAGGTGAAGTTATTCCCCCATTATGTATAACTTTGTCCTATGATTGCTCTTGCTTCCTGCTTGCTATTGTCATGACGAGGGCTGGGTAGCCTGTCTATAATGACAATATCCTAATGCCCTGGGAGAGCAATCCCAGTTACCTTTCTGCCACCACCCAACAGTTTGGGTAGAAGATGGCTTACAAGATAGATCCACCAGCCAGTAGCAAGCTACAGGACACCTTTAAAACTACTGTATCTGAATAAATATTCCTAACTACAGAACCTTCCACTGTAATACCTTGTTACCAGTATAATTTGCTATGTAAAATTCAAAAGGGTTATGTTTTTCCTAGTATCTTCCTTCTCTTTATTCGTTGATATGAGCTCATTTGGAAATATGTGTTTTAGGCAGTTTAACTGCCATGATCCTTTTGGCTGGCAGTCTGTGAGGCTAACTGCCACTTCTAAATTCATTGCAAAGGGAAAGTCCAGGCGTTAAGACAGCTGTGATACTTTTCTATTCTTGCCAAGTTGATGTTATGCCATTTAGTAAGAGTGGAAAATTAGGTTATGTTTTATTTAATTCAAAACATTTTTTGCAAGAAACCAAATAAAAAAGCTTACACAATTACAAAGCTTGGAGCAAACATGAACATACTAAACTGATATATTGCTACATACTGCATACTATATCTTAAAATCATGTATGCCAATATAGAAAACAGTTGAAGAAGTTCAGAGAGTAATCTAAGGCTTAGACAGAGACTGTAAAATTGTACAGAAGGTTATAGAGGATTTCTGGATAAATGAAAAAAGAACACTGTGACGAATGTGGATGTTAGACTCCTGCCCTTCTCACCAACTCATGATAAAGGACTGGCCAATCTCACACCATGTTGTCACTGTTAACAATGCCACTCTCAGCTGCACCCTACACAAAGATTTTCCAGCTCACAGTACCACAATCCAGGTGCCAGAAGCCTGAGAGTAATTGTCACTGGGTTAAGTTACCTAAGCAATTAACCCTGTAAACTCCAAGAACAATTATGAAAATAGACGTCTGTACACACAATGTCACTACAGACAGGCATATTCAAAGATTTATCATATACAGTAAGCACTCTTCAAGAGACAGGATTCTTTTAGTTTACATAAGCACATTTAGAGACAATTCCAACACTTATCCAAAATAGGGTTTAATAACGGAAAAGGTCAAAATGGTGTAAATAAAATATTTACAAAAGCAAAGATATTACAAAGTAACAAAAAGAGAACATCAACAGCAAGAGAAAAGGTGAAAAAAAGTAAATACTTGCAAAGTCCTTTGTTTTAGCAGAGTTCAGTCAAGGGTGAGGAAGGTGTTATCAGCTAAGATGTTCTTTGGTTGACAGTATACTAGAGCTGTTGAAAGGTCCTGACATTCCTTTTTTCTGTGGTATTAAAGAGGTGTTGACAGAGACCATCTGACCAATCATCTGATTGAAGCAGTGGTCACCATGTCTATGATCAAGTCCGAAATTAATTTCTTATTTCATATTTATGAATCCCTACCATTTACAGTCTGCTACAATACAGATTATTTTCCAGCATGAAATTAGCTTCAAAATGAATATAGATGTGACAGGTCTTGGAGACCTATTTCTCATAAGGAGGAGTATGGAGATCTACTCCACTTTGATACCTCCTAGCATAAGCGTGTTTGGGATCAAAATACCACCCACTAACTGATGAACCTGAATATGAATGGCATACTGTCATAATTTCATAAGTTATGAAACATGCTGAAGTTTTAGAGTCTTGGTTGATATTCATTCGATCGGAAATGTGTAATTACACAGACTTCCTTTAAGGTATTTTTGACCCAATGTCTGTTAGTTCTCCAGGTTTCTCAAGCTTGCGAGGGTGACAGTTTCATTTGGGTTCCCAGGGGCTGGAATGGTGTATTGAGCTAATAGGCATGAGAGGGCCTGTATCTGTCCTGGTCTGATAAGAAGGGTCTCTGGCATCAGTTAACAGTTGGGTGTATTGTACCAGAGGTTTCCTGATGGGATAAGAAAAGGGAACCAGTTCTGCTATTTCACCAACTTGTGTTACAAACGGTCATGGCTGAAATCTGAGCAAACAGGCATCCTTGCCCTTTTACACAGCTTTGTGAGGGCTCAGTATTAGAGATGAGCGAATTATTCAAAAATTCGATTCGGCTGATTCGGCGAATTCGCGGAATAAATTCGATTCAAGTCGAATATATTCGCTGCGAATTTAACTTATAAAAAGGGTGTTCCTAGGCTTCAGAGAGCCTTTATATTAGTGCAGAAACACTGTACCTTTAATTTAAATGCCCTTGGAGTCTGCTAGGGAAGAGAAATAATACTGTCAGTCAGTATGACATGCAGATGAGTGCCGTCGATCTTAGAATCACCGGCAATTAGGGGGGGGGGGGGGTGGAGGGGGGGGGGCACCGCACACTATCACTCATTTGGGCAGTCACGGGCCAAAACCAGAGTGTGGAGCCACAGTTGTGGCAGTGGAGCAGCAGCAATGGAGGCCATACAGCACCCTATGAAAAAATGGAACCCACCAGCAGTGTGAGGAGGACCTGAAATGGCACATGGCAAGAGTGTGGTCGATGGAGACAGCAGCAATGGGAGGGCCGTACAGGGACCCATGACACACTCTGGGGACCTGGCAGCAGCATGGAGGAGGCGGTACAGGGGCCCATGGGACAGAATTACGGCCTAGGCAGCAGCAATGAGGAGTCGGTACGGGGGCCCATGGCAGATTACGGGCCTGGCAGCAGCAATGGGAGGCCATACAGCACCCTATGACAAAAAAGGAACCCACCAGCAGTGTGAGGAGACCTGAAAGTGGCACATGGCAGAGTGTGGCGATGGAGACAGGCAGCAATGGGAGGCCGTACAGGGACCCCATGACACACTCTGGATCTGGCAGCAGCATGAGGAGCGGTAACAGGGGGCCCCATGACAGATTACGGGCCTGGCAGCAGCATGAGAGTTCGGTAGCGGGGGCCCATGGCAGATTAACGGGCCTGGCAGCAGCAATGGGAGGCCGTACAGGGACCCCATGGACTCACTTGCTGGACCAGGCAGCAGCATGAGGAGGTGGTACGAGGGGCCCATGACAGATTACGGGCCTGGCAGCAGCGATGAGGAGTCGGTAGAGGAGGGCGGGGCCCATGGCAGATTACGGCCCTGGCAGCAGCAATGGGAGGCCCGTAATCTGCCAGCGAACCCTATGACAAAGATGGAACCCACCAGCAGTGTGAGGAGACCTTGAAAGTGGCACATGGCAGAGTGTGGCGATGGAGACAGCAGGCAATGGGAGGCCGTACAGGGACCCATGACACACTCTGGACCTGGCAGCATCATGAGGAGGCGTACAGGGGCCCATGACAGATTACGGGCCTGGCAGCAGCATGAGGAGTCGGTACGGGGCCCATGGCAGATTACGGGCCTTGCAGCAGCAATGGGAAAGGCCGTACAGGGGACCATGACACACTCTGGACCTGGCAGCAGCATGAGGAGACGGTACAAGGGGCCCATGGACAGATTACGGGCCTGGCAGCAGCATGAGGAGGTCGGTACGGGTGGCCATGGTCCAGGTATTACGGGCCTGGCAGCAGCAATGGGAGGCCCCTTAATCTGCCAAGCACCCTATGACAAAATTGGAACCCCACCAGCAGTGATGAGGAGACCTGAAAGTGGGCACATGGCAGGAGTGTGGCGATGGAGACAGCAGCAATGGGAGGCCGTACAGGGACCCCATGACACACTCTGGACCCTGGCAGCAGCATGAGGAGGCGGTAAGGGGCCCATGGCAGAGTGGCGAATGCGTAAGCAGCTTAAATTTGAAGGCCATGAACAGAGGCCTATGTTAAAAATAATAACATGTTTGGGGCATGATTCATGGCGGATTTAGTCAGTTGTGTCAGGAACTTGGTGGTTTGAAATCCAGGGACTAATCCACCGCCTGATTCCATTTTCACAAACGTGAGTCTCTCTCACACTTTGGGTGGACAGTCGTGTCCTCCGCGGAGTTTACAAATACCTCCTGCCGCACTAAACACGCGCGCTCCGATGCCACGCTACTGGCGGGGCATGACAGCCTTTCAAGGGCAAATTCAGCTAGTTGGGGCCCAAAAGGTCAAGTTTCCAGTTGCCCAGTAGTCAAGGGGATTGTCTAACTCGGTTGGCAGGGTGCTATCCAAGTAGGCCCAAGCCTGTTGTTTGAAGGTCCTGCTCCGGTCCAACCTGATGCTGCTGCTGCTGGCGGCTGGTTTAGTAGTTTCCTCACTGCGCTGGTGAAGAAAGCTACTCATCATCGACTGCAGACTGAGGCAGCCGCTGCTAGTGGAGCTGCCGCTGCTCCTACCACCCCACACCCCTCCCCTGCTGCC